GTAGCTCCAAAAGTCGTTTTTTCACTCTTTTCACATATTTTTGAGAAAATCGAGCGAATGACTGGTTTTACCGAAAAAGTTCAAATAAAAAAGTTGTAGAAAATTTAATTTTTGACAAAAAAGGTTTTTACGTTCATATCACTAAAGTGCTTTGTTTAAGAGATATAAGCAATTATAATTCAAAACCCAGCCAAAATATAGAAATTTAAAGTAAAAATGATAAAAATACATGCTTTTTATATGGAAAAACTACAAAATTAAAAAGGAAGTACTTAGAATAAAAGTTAAGGGCTCAAATTTTCAGGGAATTTTTTTTCAACCTAAAAAACAAAATTTTCATGTGTCAGCAAGAAAAAAAAAATTTCGTTTTAAATGAAACACCCTAGTGGGTAATAATTATTACATAATTATATTTATGTGTGTAGTATTATGTATTGAATTTTAGATGTTGGAGTGATATTACGAAGAATCACATAAAAAACAATTATGTATATTTTACCTCTAGATTATAGGTACGAATAAAAATTTTGGTTAAACAATATAGCCAAAAAATGTCCGTCTCGCAAACAAAATTAACGTGTCTGTAGGTTTGAAAAAAATCATTGCAGTATATATTGTATATATAGGTAGATAGGTATTTGAAACATTGTAAAAAAGTTAGGTAATATGTAAAAAAGTTAGGTATATATGCAATATCTCTTTTTTCAGGTTAAGTTGAGCAATAATTGTTTCAAATATTGTCTATTCTTTTTTTAACTTTTGGTCGACCTTAAGGTTAGGATATAATGACCATGTTTATTTTAAAAGGTAAAGAGTGGATTATCCTATCTATTTTCATCAGTCTTAGAAAAAAAGAGATAGCATAATTCACTCTTTACCTTTTAAAATAAGCATGGTCATTATATACTAACCTTTATTTAAAGTCGAGCAAAAGTTAAAAAAAAAAAGAATAGACAATATTTGAAACAATTATTGCTTAACTTGTATTTAATTCAAAAGTAAATATTGTAACGCCAAGAATTATAATATTTGTATAAAAAAATACTTATTCTTAAATTAAGCATAGTGTATATTTTATTTGAGGGTGCTTGTATTTAAAATAATTTGATAGTTTTTCTTGAAATAAGAATAAGTTTACCCTTGCAACTAAAATTGATTTATTTGATAGTGTATCTCACTATTGTTTGTGCAGTGGTGATAAATATTTATGTATTATGCAATGTCTTTATGTATACGAATATATTGGTATACAAAATTATCGTTGATTTTGGCTGACTTCAGGCAAACCCATATTATACCTACAAAATGTCAAAATCCCAATAATAAAGGGTTTCGACTTAATTTAAATTTTCACACGAACGTCAATATTTCTCGCAAGAGTGAGCTCATTTCGAGTTTATGAGATTACCTATTCGGATTTGCTGGAAAATGTGACGACTGGATGACACAGCCTAAAAAACCATTGTACAAAACACAAATAATTGACTTTTCAATGCGCCTTTGTTGCCCAAGGCAAGGTGCAAAAACTACATGAGTGGGCCATGGGCGAAAAAAAAAGACGGCAATAATTGCCGAAAGGCTGTGTGCATTTGTCACGTGGTCTTTAATCTGCATGTCGAATTTGAAACGTCACCGAAATGAAATAAATGAAGGTTTTGCTTTCAGCCAAGCCGACCCGAAACTTATAAAAGGTCTTAACAACTTAATCTGCATCGTATAGTCTCGAATTAAGCCATAGATACCAACATAAAGTATTGAGTTCTCATTTTTTTGTTTTTTGATTTTATTGCTTTTTTAAATCCATCAAAAAATTGCATTACTTTTGGTCGCTATTACAAAAGATATAACGACGTTTTATAGGAAAACTAACGCTTTTTATTAGCTGATAAAATTTGAGTGCTTCACCGCATCGAATTTGATTTTAACTCCGAGGTTTCATGTGTCAATTAGATGTTGAATTCGAGTAAGGAAACATCTGCTCAGCCCCAATAAACATCGCTAAATAAGGGATTATTCCCTTGGCTACCAATAAATATAAATATTACACGGATTTCAGGACACATGATTCCAGAAGTGTATGCTTACACTAGTTTGGAAGTATCGTAAAAAAATAGGCCCATTTTATGCACATATTAAAATAATCAGATTGTTTATTTGATATCCCAATAAACATTTTGTTTTTTATAGTGGTTTCCATAAATGTAATTATAAAACCTAAATTTCTTAATTTGGTTCCGGAAATATTTATATCACTCTTATATACCCCATAAAGAGCTTATTTGGGGAGTTTATGAAGGTTATCGGTATCTTTAGTAACAATATAAAACCTAAGTTTTATAACTAGAGATATCAGGAATATTATGGAAACCACTATATAACTTCCTAAAGATCTGCTACCGGCTTTTTTCCTTCTTTTAATATTTCTCTCTTCATTGGGCACCTAAATAATTGATAACTCACAATTTTTATTTAAAAAATTAAAGACACAATAGTTTTATAAAAGTTTATAAAACTCCTTTATTAACCTTCTGGTAACAATTACTAAAGGTTATATCAAATGTTTGTAGAAACAATTGTATAATCTAATTATATACATTGAGTTTACAGTAACCTTATATGACCATTATAAAACTAGTAAACTAAATGGCGATTTTATAAAACCTTGTTAAACTCTTATATAATTTGACAACTCTTATATAACCTTTATATAATTTATCGTTACAATAAGTAGTACCAATTGTTTTATATTGGGATCAAAGGTCAAATTTCAGAATATTAGTTAATAATAGTTTAATAATTTTTATTAAGTACAAATTTAATGTGTTTTCTTATTTTTATTAATTTATTTAAGATTTCCAATTTTTGGTGTGGTGGGTACCTACCCCAAACACAGATTTTATCAAAAACGTCTCATTATTGTAAAACCACTAAATACCTTAATTTTTAACCCAACCGATCTGTTCTGGATAACCGAAAACCTAATATTTATAACCGTTTAACATCTTCATTAAGAAATTCCTCTAATGAATTCACCTGGGCACATTCACACGAATTTAAAACGGAAAATTTACAATCTCCTAAAACTAAAATATAAATAACCCATTCATCAACATTAAAATACGACCGTAACTGTTGAGCATGAAGAAAAAGAACCATAACAAATTAATTAAAAAAAACTGCTCAGTACCTATACCTACCTATACAACGCATCCGTTGTATTTTTTATTTTGATTATGATCTGACAGCTCTAATAAAACCACCTTTAGTTTAGTTGGTTAGTTTTTAATAGGACCTCGTAAAATTTACAACATGGCATAAATTATTTGGTAATTTTTAATATAAAATAAACTTTCGTACACACTGCTACTGTACTGTCCGATATAAAATAAAATAACATAATAACACAACATTATTTAATAATAATTTCTCAAATTTTAATAATTTTTGGGAATCGTACAAATATTTTTGAGATTTCAACTCTTTCCTTTTTTTTCGTTTTTCAAAAATTGCACATTTTTAAAAAAAATATTATGTATTGGATTTTTATTTTTTGTAGATAAAAATTCATTTAGGTATCAAAAACAGCTATCTTGTTGTTAAAAATTTAGGTATTTACTACCCTTAACAATAATGAGACGTTTAAGATTAAAATCAGTGTACCTACCGCGTAGAGAAAAATAATAATCTTTTTGTGAAATCTTCAGATTACACTAATATATTTTACCTTAAGGATTTCGACAATGATCTTAAGGACAAAAGACGAAAGGCTTCTTGTCGACTAACTAGCCGCAACTGTAATCTTGTATAAATATATTCAAAAGTTAATAACTATTTATTTTTAATCTTAAGTTTTATTTTTGGAATAAATGATGGCAGTTTGTGGACGGTTGTTACCAAATTTGCAGTTCTGGGGAAGTAAGATTACACAGGATTAATTTTTAGTTTATTATTTATCAACAAATATAGTTAGGTAATCCACGCTAAATCTAATACCCTAATACCACTTTACAAAATGCTAAACAAGTTTTTTACTATTTGAAATCATTATTATATAAACTGATCGAAAAAAGTTAAGCATATTTTTGAAGTTGAAATCAAACTGAATATTTAAAGTTTAAATTTTAAACATCCCGATACCGATTATGCGTTTTTTCGACCGTTCTTTTTTGTCCAAGATTTTTTCATTTTTATGTTTTTATTACCAAATAATAAAATACAGTATACAGGGCGTATAAAATTGTATCGTTAAATTTATGTTTTGGTCAAAATATCTTAATATGCTTAACTTTATTCGATTAGTTTAAATGCTATATTTTTCATTGATTAATTTAATTTAATAAAATCCATCATTAATTAATTTAATTTAATTAAATCCAAAATGCACACTTTAAACTTTTACACCCTGTATCTTCTTTACTATCAAATTTCGTATAAAGGTAAATTTATTTAAAATTTTACCAAATTTGATATATTTTTCCAAGATCCCGAAATATTTTTTAAATTTTATTACCTAGTTTAAGATATCATTTGTATTAATAAGTCAAAGCCATAAAAATATATTTGATACATTATTTCGAAAACCAAGCTAATCCATGCAAAATTTTACATAAATTATACCTCCTCTAAACACCAGTAGCCAAAAAGTCAATGATAATCCCCGACATAAAGTAAATAATTTAGATGGAGGTACTTAATACCCTTTAATAAAAATCACAACAATAAAATTTCATCAAAATTAGCACCGAATCAAAAAATAATCAGAAACGCATTAACGCAGCGACCAGGTGGCAAAACCCACTCCACTGCAACAAAAATCTATTTCTCAAGGAAGGCAGTGTTACCAAAACGTTACCGTCAAATTTACAAAACAAACACGATCAAACCCCAAACAACAAACCCAGGTAGGCGGCGTGGAAGGCGTGCCCTCGCCGCCATTGGCCCGAACTTCGGGCGCTACGCCGTATATAACGCGCCTACGCATCCCGAATAGTCAGTTATACCAGAGATCCTCTAGAGAGTACACGCAGTGAACGGTGATGAGCAATAGTGTAGTAGCAACCATGGTGAACAAAGATGAAACTGTTCTAGTGCCCAAAACAACCAGAACGTCCTTCAGTATCAGCAGTTTGCTGCCGGAATGTTGCATGGACACCCCTGACAGTAAAACCGACGATGATAACGTTGAAATCGACGTGGAAAGTGAATCCGATTGTGAAGATTTGGATGTGACTTCCACACCTCCTCTGGACTGTACTAAAAGTGATAAAGAAGAAGAAGCCGATAAGTCCAAAGAGAAACCCACCTTCAGCTACAACGCGTTGATAATGATGGCTATTACGAACAGCCCGAACAAACGCCTTACGTTGAATGGGATCTACGAGTACATAATGAAGAACTTCCCTTATTACAAAGATAACAAACAGGGGTGGCAAAACTCGATTCGCCACAACTTATCTTTAAACAAATGCTTCGTGAAGGTACCCCGGCACTACGATGACCCCGGCAAAGGTAACTACTGGATGCTGGACCCCTGTGCCGACGATGTCTTCATTGGAGGAACAACCGGGAAGCTCCGTAGGCGCTCAACGGCCGCATCTAGATCCAGAATTGCCGCGGTGAAGAGAAGCCTGATCTACCACCCGCTGCAACCCCAGATCTACCCGCAATTCTACCCATCGCCTATGCTGAACCCGTACCATAGATACCCGTATCTGCAGACAGCCCAACCGACCATCCCTATCATACCGAGACCGATGCAACCCATGCCCAACCCGCAGTTTGGGTTGGAACGCCTCATCCAGAACCAGGAGTTCTTCAGGCCGCAATTCGAGATGTACCAGAACGCGTTGAGGTTGCCCATGATGCAGCAAAGCATGGCTCTGTCGCCCACATCTAGCTCCAGCTCGCCCGAACCCAGAGCTAGCCCAGATTTTCACCACCACCAAATGTCGTTTGGGCAGAGGAGTTAGGGTTGCTTGTTAGACTGATGATGATGTATATGTTGTATATAGTTTAATTTATTGAAACATGTGATTTTAGTATTTAGTCGATGTATTTGACAATTTTCTATGTGATGCTAGTATATAAGAGATTGTACAGTATTATATATGACAAAATAATAAATTATTTTATGTCGTTCCTTACATTTGCTTTTTATTATCAACAATCCCTTTATAGTTAAATTAACAAAACATTTAGTTACATCCAGTTTCTATTGTTCCAAGTTTGTACTAAATACATATAATATACAGGGTGTCCTATGGCTTCTATGGGAATTTTTTCATTTGAAAATCTACAAGGTCAGTAGCGTAATAACAAGCCTATATATTAAAATAAAATTTGGGTTTCTTAATTTTTTCTCCAACCATGTAACATTCCAATATGGCAACCATAAGAAAAAGTAAGGATGGTATAACTCAAAAACCATTAGGCAAAAATTTCACAAATAGTATAAAAAAGTTGATTTTTTTTATATTTTGCTATTGTTTATCAGTAATATTGGTTACAAAACACTTAATTATTCAACAAACTGTTTAATTTGACTATTTCATTAAGTAGAATTTGACTAATTATTAGTAACTGCTTTTTCGCTATGACAATTAGAGTACACTGTTAAAAATGTTTGTAAAATTACTACATTTTTACTAAGCAGTTGCATAGTAAAATTACAAAATGTTGTATTGTATTGCATTTGTTGTAATATTACATTTTGTTATAGCCAAAGTACTAAACAGGTTCCAATTTTACAATTTTTTGTTTTTGTCTTATAGTAATTTTACAATTCTGTATTGTAGAATTGAATTTGAAATTTTGTAAAATTTCCATACATATTCGGAATTTAATTTTACCAAGATAATTAATGAAATTACTAACCAAAATTTGCTATTTGAATTACAATAAGTGTTTGGAAATATACAAATCATTATTTATTTCATACAACTTCTTTTAGCATTTTTACTATACATTATCATATCATTTTAATTATGTAAACTGTTAACATTTTTTGTAAAATTACAATTGTTTTGCAAAACAAATTACAAATCAGTGTAGGTATACCAATAAAAAATTATAATACAATTTGAGTAATCTTCCAAGACATGTTGGGAAATCTACTAAGATAAGGTGTAATTTTACAATCTATATGTATAAATCCTACACGCATTGTAATTTTACTAAACAGTTGACAGTTTCTAATAAAAAGCATCTCAGATTTACAAACGTTGTTTGTAATTTGATTTGCTATAATGTTATGTAAAATGCATAGTATGCACAGATTGCGGCAATCACGTGATGTACTTACATATCGCCTCGGTTGACTTAGGTGGACAGTATATAAGCTCGGGTGTCTTTCGTTTTTGGTGTGTTCCAATGCACCAAATTGCCCGACATTGATAAGACCCAAAATAGGTCTATCTGTCTAGCTGTCTGTCGGTATTTGAAGTTGGTGGAACGCACTTAAAACAAAAAGTCTTTACAGTAATGGGTCAAGAAAGTTTCTTGAAGAAACCAAGAAAATTGCAGGGTTTTTTTCGTAGTATAATTATAATACCACTACTCAAAAATTACTAAATATTTTTAGTGTAATTGTATTGTATTGTACAAAATAACAATAATTGTATTGTAATATTACGAAACGAATTTTCTTCAGTTCAGAAAAATATATTTTGAAATAAAGAAATATTGTTTCATTTTTTACCCTTTTGTTATGCCACTGTCGACAACAAATAGAGCGTAGGTAGACGTTTAATTCCACAGTCGTCCACATTAAATTAACAAAAATTGGACGTAGGTGTCAGTATTGGTCATGTTGCCCTTACAGGTCAATTAGACATTAAACAAATAAAAATAAACTGTAGAAACTTTTATATGCCGCTTATAAATCTTCGTAACGTAAACATGACAAAAATAAAAAGGGCTTTCTCGAAAATCAAAATCCAAATTCTATGGGTTTTATAGACGGGGCGCAATAAAGTTTATGGTGGCCTTTTGGCCACCAAAATACCAAAAATCTTCATCCTTGAGGAAGTTCCTGGTAAAATCGAGGGCCGAATTTTCTAATGAATTCCGTAAACACTCCATTGTAGAATTGGCCACGAACAATAAATTCAACAATGGGTAATAACGATGTTTCCACAGAGAGAATGAAACATGAAAAATTAGTTTTGTCATAATAGGAATGCCTATCTTGTCTAAAGATGATATTCTAAAAAAATTATTTTACTTCATACCTAAAGATTTAGTAAATTTACAAAAAAATTTAACAGGACATTCTAATCCAGATAAATCCAAGACACCTGGCAACTCTAGTTGTAGAGAAGAACAATTAATGAAAACAAAAAACATGTTGTTTTTCTATTAATTGAAGTGACCAATTTCAATTAAATTGGTCTTAATTGGGCGTAGGTAGATATTGAAGTGGTCAATATGGGAATGCTTTTAACAGTCATAGGTCAATATTTATACACAAAACGACCCGTGGGATACCGTTTAACTTAAATACAGACCCGTATTACGAAAAATATACGTCATAAGTGAAAAACAAGCTTAATTACAACACTCCTCTAATGTATTCTAAATTTAAAAAAAAAATGTTAAGTTTGGACATTTTTAAGAAATAGGTATAAAAGAAAATTGTTGTTCAAACATAACCTTAAAATTAAACATTTTTATATTTATAATAAAATAAATATATCCACGAATTCATGACAACAAAATATTATATATAATACATAATATAATACCCGTTTTTGTGTTTTACCATTAAGTGGAGACTTTCTTAAACAACGCTTTGAATAATGCATTACGTTTAAATTTAAAAGACTTATTTGGGTTATGATTTTTACTGAATTGAAATGTTTACAATTTTCACGTAAAATGTGTATTTATTGTATCTAATAGGAACAATTTATATTTACAGGGACTACATACATGTAATGAATACTGTATAATATAACAAAATATGTTTTGGTTATGTACTAAATTTAAAAATATACTTTTCCCCAAAATGTAAAAAATCCATTTTATCAACTTTTTTTACCCTAAATAAACAATTGAAATGACCCGTATGAATTATCTCGGTCGATTACGGTTTAACAAAATAATTAGTTTTAGTAGTAGCCGGCCACAAATTACCAGATTATTAGTACTAGGTCCAGTCATTTCATTCATGCGCTTCGACTTTTAAGAGCAAGAAAATTAATTTTGATTAATTTTGATGAGGTCAGAGGTTCGAGCAAGACCCGTGCCTTCAGGCAGCTGCTCTTTAATTTTAAAGTGTACTAACTCGCATCCTTCCGTTTTGTTTTAACAAAACCAAAACACAGATGCCAAGACATTGTGTCACTTTTTTATATTGACTAAATAAGTAAACATTTTTTGCACAATAATTAAGTGGATAGATTCTCTAAAAACCGACTTATATAATATTTTATCATTTCATCTTTTAATGGAAAGATTGAAGTGAATAGCAATTTCGATAATATTCTTTACTCATATTTGCATTATCTATTTTAAATGGGGCATACCTACGACTTTATCTTGCCTATTTTTCGAAATCTAATACTATTGTTATGATTCTTCTATTTTGTTGTTTGTACAAACTTGGTTTATGTGGATGTTTATTAGGATATTTTGTTACAAAATACACTGAAATACACACAAAAATAAAATAATACGTTAGTAATTTATTTATAATATAGTACTGCTAAAGCAAATGTTTTAGATACACAAAATTCATTGTTAATTTTACATTAAAATTTTACAAAATATCACTAAAAACATTGCTTCAAATATTTGTGAATACATTTTTAAAACCTAATATTTTTGTTAAACTCAGTGTATTTCATCGAAAATCCTAGAAACAGTTGCTCTTTTTACAAATGACTGTTACACATTGAAGTTCTCGTATTACATGAGATTACACAGCATCTAATTGAAATATTAGATTATAGAAATATGAATGGAAAATGGATATTTTTATGAATATAATCTGTTAATTCTTTAATCAACAATGAAAAGGTCTAAAAAGATTTTTGGTTTATGTGGTTTGTGTAACTTTATATAATCCTGTTTTTTTGTATATTGTTACCTTTTCTTGCACATTCACAAATTGTCTTCAATTCAGATATTACCTTTCTTGGGCCACAAATAATTTAGAATTTGGCAACAATTTGAATCCAGATTTACACATCTTTTTTAAAACAAATTCTTTAAATAAATCAAATATTATATTGCATATCTTTTGTGAACAATTTTAGCATTTAGATACTTTGCATACCTTAACTGTTACATACGACAAAATAATCAAGTGGTTTTGATTTGATGCGTTGCCACGTGTAGGCCTTAGCATTTTAGTCGGACAACAGGATGCGTTGAATGATAATGTGAAGTCAACAGTGCAATTCAGGACCAATTTACCAAAGTAGGTAGTTGGGCTCTTAAAGATACAAAACACGACAGGGCGCTCATTAAGTAATTTTACAACCCGACACAGCCAGTTGATGCTGCAA